TGGCTGCAGCATTTTGGATTAACTGGAGGCTTTTTAGGGAACTATTTGGACATCCTGATAGTAAAGAGTTACAGTAGTCCAGCCTGGAAGTAACAAATGCATGGACCAGTTTTTCAGCATCACTTTGAGATAGGATGCTCCTGATTTTTACAATATTGCTCAGGTGAAAGAAGGCAGTTCTAGAGACTTGGTTTATGTGTGATTTAAAGGACATATCCTGGTCAAAATTGACTCCAAGGTTCCTCACAGTATAGTACTGGAGGCCAGAGCTATGTCATCTAGAGTAGCTATATGGTTAGACAGTATGTTTCTTAGGTTTTCAGGCCCAAGTACAATAACTTTGGTTTTGTCAGAGTTTTATCCAGGCTTTTATGTCTTTAAGACATGCTTGAAGTTTGACCAACTGATCTGATTGATCTACGTTCATAGATAAATATAACTCAGTATCATCTGTACAGCAATGGAAATACGTATATGCTGTGTTTCCTGATAATGTTGCCTAAAGGGACCATGTATAAAGTGAGATTGTTGGTGACTTTCACCAGTGCAATTTCTGTACTATGATGGACTGTAAATCCAGCCTGAAAATCCTCAAACAAATCATTATTGTGCAAGTGGTCACAAAACTGCTTTTTCAAGGATTTTAGAAATAAATGGGTGATTGGATATCAGTCTATAATTAGCTAAAACACCTGGGTCCAGAGTAGGCTTTTTGAGTAGAAGTTTAATTACAGCAACCTTAAAAGCCCGTGGAACATAGCCTGTTAATAGGGAGAGATTGTTCAGATCTAATATGGACATGTTTAGGATGAGATGTCCTGACAGGGTGGCAGAAACAAGGTGAACAGTCAGGCTCACTTCCTGAAATGGTACTGTGCACTTAAAGACATCACATACCTAATCAGCTTTGATGTGTGGTTGCTGTACAGGCCCTGTGAGTGTGTTTATGTGATTTACCAAATGAGAAAGTGCACTGTTGACCCCTCTGTTCTCACACGCCTCTGTCTAACTGAGCAGGTCAGAAATAGCTGTGTAACGCAAGGGGAAGCTGTGACTGTGTATACAGGCTCAAACATGCATAAGCACATGCAAAGACAGCATAAGCACATGCTTTGAGCACACACACACACACACACACAATCTCTCATATCCCGCATTCCAGCACAAGGTCGAGCCCACTCCTCCTTTTCCTCACACACAAACCCATCTTTGATTACAAGATCCATTTACACTAGCAAGCCAATAGTGAAACATAAGTGGGAGATAACTCTGTCAGATAGTTATGGATTGTGCTGTAAAGAGGATGAGGTCACCAAGCAAATGCATAGCTGCTTGGCCTCACTTCCATTTTTCTAATTGGAACGACAGGTTGGGGTTTTATTGTTCCTAAGATAAGATCATAATCTCCTCAATAGAATTGATGCTGACAATGTTTTATATTCAGTGGACATAA